CATTTTTTCAGAGCGTGCACCCTTACCAGTTTCCTACTAACTACCTTCTCTTCCACTTTAGCTTTGCCCTTTCGCTGTCTTAGAGACCTCAGGAGCTGGAGTAGAGGATTGTGGGGTCGGATGAGAGCTGGAAGAGTTGGAAGATACTGGTTGGTGAGCCGGAGTTTGTGCTTGGTTTTGCTGATGCATGTGGAAATTTAGGGCTGCTAAAGCTCTAACATTGTCTGGAAACTCTGGACTTGGAGCATGGACGACTGGGGCTGGACTAGGAGAAGGGGGTACCATAGAACCGGCAGGAATTTGTATCTGGTGAGTTGCTGCCTGAGTTGTGCATGTAATTGTAATGCCTGTAATAAAGTAGCTGGTGTCTGAGGTTGGCTGAGTGGTTGTTCAGCATTCTGAGAGCTGTTCTGCTCCATCTTAGAGGTCGAGAGTTGAGGAGGACAAGCTGTTGAATTTTTTTTTCTTTGCGACGACACTCATGTCTCAGATGAATCTCTAAGTTTCTTTATTTGGGACATTCACATTACTACATTAAGAGGTATGCAACTTAAGTAATGATGGTCGATCCTTGCTGCAAGTCTGATCCTCAATTCTTGAGGGACTTGCGCTGCTCGCGGCATCAGTCTTCTTCGTGCCGCAGCCCCCGCGCAAGTCCCCCACGCAAGTGAATTGAGGAGGGCTAATTTAATTGAAGTCGCCTAATTGGCACTTGCATTTCGTATTACGTAAGAAAGGAATGAGGGTTAAGATTAATAAGAAATTTATTCACCGTATACACTCAGACGTCAAAGACCTTGCATTCAACGTTCTCCGAATCGCTTCGACATCAACGAATGTTTTGTCGCGGAGTCGATCGACCCAGAGTAGCCGTGTCTCGCTGATATTGGTGAGAGACGGACGGCGATGGCGCAATGGAGATGATCTTTCACAATTCACCCTAGCACGCTAAAACTCCCGTCTTCCGTCTCTCACCTCTTCATCCGTTCATCCATCTCATCTCACCACCACAACCATCATCTCCCCCATCATGCGCGCATACTACTACGATAACATCCCGGGCGACCAACGTCTCCCACACGACTCAGGCGAGTCCGTCTCTCAAGACACACTTACCTCTCTCGGGGTGCTTTACTGGCAGATTCCTCTTTTGGGTGATGGTGAGGTTGATGAAGAGAAGATTGATGAAGTTGCGAGGGAGAGGGAGTATAAGAATCGGGATGTGATTAATGTGACGAAGGAAGGGTTGGGAGAGGCGTATGAGGGGAAGTTGAAGATGTTTTTTGCTGAGTGGGTTTACTTCGTCTTTTAATTTCTTTTCTTTTCTTTTTGGTTAAGTTGATATGTGAGAGTGGGAATGATGAGCTGACGGTGGCGTTTTGTAGGCACATGCACGAAGACGAAGAGATCCGATACGTCAAAGCTGGATCTGGTTTCTTTGACGTCCGAGGTACGTTCTCTCTCTTCTCTCTTCTCTCTTCTCTCTTCTCTCTTCTCTCTTCTCTCTTCTCTCTTCTAATTTGTTCTTGATCACTGACACCTATCGGATTGTGTTTTTTTAGAACTCTCAACGGACCGCTGGATCCGCGTCCATCTGACACCAGGCGACCTCCTCGTCCTCCCAGCTGGCATCTACCACCGCTTCACAGTTGACGAGCGGAACGCTGTTACTGCTATGCGACTCTTCAAGGTACAGTAGCTGTCTCATTCCAACATATTCAATTATTGGGCTGACTAATTTTATTATTATAATTTATTTACTGTAACATGATACCGTATCAATACATAGGACGAACCAAAGTGGACGCCGCACAACCGCGGTGCGGAGACGGACGTAAACCCGTACAGACAGACGTACGTCCGGAGCGTCCGCGCTTCCGCTTGACGGGCAAAAGATCAGAAATCAATGGATTAAAATACGAATATCTTCCGTGTTTTCATGAATTTATGAAGTGTGTATGAGGATAGACTGTGTAGCTCTTGTTTCGCTGTGTATCTTGTCGTCGTGTATGAGAGAAAAATGAATGAATGAGAAAGTGAAATGAGGAATTTTCGCCAGCAAGCCACTTGTAATAAAATCTAAATTTATTTTTACCTCGGGGGCGGTGACATCAGCGTTCAATTTCATCGCCTACGCCCGCAGCTTTCATTCACTTGGTTACTCGTGTCCATGCACCGCAGCACTAGCGTCTAGCGTCGCTCTTCACTAACTTATCACTTATCACTTCCGAATAAGTTACAACCATGTCCTCCGGAAACGACGACCCAGTCACACAAGCACAAAATAACATCGGTACGTAAACGGCTTCTATTCCTACGTTGACGTATATCAAAAATTAACGTGAATTTTTTATTTTTTATTTATTGTTGTTAATGGACGTTCTTGTCTTGTGATGAAATGTTGACTCTGACATTGACATGGACGTGAACGATGAATGATGAACGATGAACGACGGATGAACGCAGTTGCGATATTCCACGCCTCCTTCCACCCGACGAAAGGCAACACAATCGACTGGTCTCTCACTTCTCCCTCCCCATCCACCTCTGCCTCTTCTTCTTCTTCATCACCCACCCTTTCACTAGATGGCGTAGAATTCAGCGTCCTCCCCTCAGGCCTCCACCTCGTCCAACAAGACGTCATCTACTTCTCACACGGCTCACATACCGGGTTAGCCGTCTTCCGTCGTCGACCTACGAAAGCTGAGGGACAACGAGGGTTTCGGTTAGCTTCGCTTGGGATTTTGCTTGGTGAAGGGGAGAGACCGAGGCCTTGGGTTTATGTTAGGGAGTTGAGGGAGTTGGCGGATAGGGTGTATGAGGGTGCTGAGCGGAGGGAGAGGGAAAGGGAAGGAGATGCGGATTTGTTGGGGTTGGGCGATGGGAGTGGTGGGAGTAGGACGGCACCGGGTGATTTGACCGAGGAGGATTTTAGACCTGCGAAGGAGTGGTTTGAGGCTAGGAAGGTTATTCCTACTGCCGCTACTGCGGAGAAACAGCAGGACACCTCAAAGCCTACGGACGTATGGTCTGGATGGAGTGACGAACTCGATGGTGTACGTATTCCTCCCTTTTCCCTTCCTTTTTCATTTCTTATATGTTATATGCAGACACACGCCTCTCCAAGCACACCAACCCACCACCTCCCACATCTCCTCCGAATCCTAGGCCTCTCCTCCCTAACGCTCTACAAATTCGTCCTCTCCCGACGCCGGATACTCATATATACCCTTCCGCCTGTCGAAGTGGCTGGCATACTCGCGTGGATCACTGCAGACTTATGCAGAGAACACCATATGTCCCCCCGGAATGATCGTACTTCGTTCGGCATGGGCGTACCAATGCCAAGTCTCTTCTCTCAACCAAAGACCACCGAAATCTCCGATGCCAATGCAAATAACAGAAACGAAGGCGGAGAGAAACAAGAAAGCCCCTTCGTCCTAGGGATGATCACCCTCTCCGATCTCCCACGTCTCGAACAGCTCTCTTCTACAGGTCGAGGCTGGATCGCGTGTACGACTGATGCGATTTTCTTGGAGAAGCCGCAGTATTATGATTTAGTTGTGGATTTGACGACGTGTACGCCGAGTAAGGCGAGTAGGCCTGCTTTGTATATGAGCAAATCCACTTCTTCTGGTGGAAGTGGAATTGTGAGTGGGATTTCGAGTGGGTTGGGGATGGGTGGAGGTGGAGGTGGAGGTGGAAGTGGGATGGGGAGAGGAAAGGAGAAGTGGAAGCTTGAGACCGTGAGGTTTACCTGGAGTGATGTTAAACTGGTAAGTCCTGCAACTTTTTTGTCAAAGAAACGGGTGGCATTAAAAAAACATTTTTCTGAATTTTAACGAATAGTGGGGCGAACTAGACAGAATCCTCAAACTCGACTCCTCACAAACCGCACACCACATACATACTTCCTCTGGATGTTGTCAGCCAAACAAATTCCCTTCGCCCGGCTCCTCCAATGACAACAATAACGGAAACAACGTCGGAGTCGGTGGAGGAGGTAGTATTACCAACTCGTCAGCACAAAGTACCTGGGCAGATGCGTTCAAGTTATACGAAGATGTATGCCTCCTATGTGCGATGCTCTGGATGGGTTTAGGTACTTGGCGCTCGAACTCGCGTCAATCCTTTTCTTCCTCACCTACTAGCCCAAGTGAACGAGGAGGAAGTGGCGGAAGGATGAATTGGGGAAGTGCGAGAGCACCAGGAGACGATGATTGGAGTCTCGAAGGTACGCATATGCGTACACTTGGTCAGGGAATTGAAGGCGGTCTTTCTAAGTCACCAAGTAAGAAGAAAGATAAGGATAAAGGGAGGGAAGTGGATACGACGAAGGTTAACATTCGCGTGAGAGGGTCTGGGATCGAAGGGAGACCTACAACTACGCCGAGAGCTCATGGTGGACATTCGCGTAAAGCGAGCGCGTCGTCGATGATGAAGCTCTCGCCTTCGCAGCCGTACGTCGAGTCTACCAAAACCTCGGAGGGAGACCGAAATGCAGATCAGGAACAAGATCCGGACCAGTCAGGAGCGGGGAGGACACTCTCAGCTGAAGAAGAACAAGAACTCCGAAGAAGACAAACAATCCAAACGACACTCGCCCTCTTACAAACGTTCCACGCTAATACCGTTTTCTGGCTCTCCAAGCTTCGGGAAGTCATCCCCCCTCCTTCGGCTGTCTCTACGCCCGGTGTAGGTTCGGGTTCGGGTGCGATGAGACCTTCAGGTCGACTACCAAGTACCAGTACCAGTACCACCACGAATTCCAGTTTCAACGAACGAGAAGAAGTGGGTGATGATGAACTTGAAGAAGTTGAGATGATTACGATTTCGGCGCGGGACCTTCTGTCGCTTGAGCTTGGGGTATTGAGTGAGCTGGATGCGAAATTTGTTGAGTGGCTTGTCGAGGCGGAGGGGTATGCTGAGTGGAGGAACGACGCCAATGTGAGAGTACGAGATACGAGACGTGGGAGGAGGAGAGTGGTGGTGGTGAAGAGGGGTTGGGGAGAGTTGGTTGGGATTTTGTTGGGGTTGAAGTAGAGATGTTGAATCCTAGCATGACTCCGCAACTTTCACTCTTGAGTCACAATTTGATTTTTTCCTTCTTTTTCTTTCTTGATGTTGGTTTCGAACTTTCGACGATCTCACACGTTTTTGGAATACCTTTCTTGGTTATTGATTTTTTCTCTCTTTGCATGAATTATGTATTAATCCTCGAAAGAAAGTCGAACAATTGTCCCTCTCCTCCCTTTAGCCATGGTAGATGTTTAGTGCTTCCTCCTTTGGATTTTTGGATTACAATATTCTGCAGATATTTGTTGTTCAAACTTGCAGCTCCTTAAAATTTTCTGTTAGCTTCTTGTACTATATTTTGTTTCTTGAATTAATTCTAGATGTGAATACTTTTTCTTGTTCTTAATCAAGTCATGGTCAATTTAGAACTTGATTATACTGTTTATTATAATTATACAACACATTTGTCAACTACAAAATTATGGATACAATTAAATAAATATGAATCAATTATACACTTATGTGAACCAAGTTGACCTATCTCTCAGTCTCAATACTCTTCCTGGATTTCAGTATAACTGCTTTTCAAAGTCCTACAGCTACCTACTTAATCTGAGTCAGAGTACTATTCCTAGTAGGATTAGGTAGGTTGTAGAAATCTTCAAGGTCAAGCATTTTGTCAGGAGTGTTGTCTAGTAAATCTGAATACTCTCAAAGTAGCTTGTATTCATTTAGTTTAGACATGTAAAGCTTCCTTCTTGATTCTTGTACAATCTCCAGAGTTAGTGAGTAAGCTAGAGGAGATAGGGAATGAAGCTAAGATAGTATGAACTCTAGAAGATATAGTAGTAAGATGGTTAGAAGTACAGCTGAATTCAAAGTAGAGGGTAAGAGGTTAGTAAATTGTCTTAGTAGTTACTTCTTACATTGTAATCCCTCTGACAGTTTAAGAGGCTTATTAAACAAAGTAGAAGGCTTATTAAACAAAGTAGAAGGCTTATTAAACAAAGTAAGGACTGTATTATCCTTTATAACAGTATTTTAGGACTCATTTATATTGAAAGTAGTGAGCTTTGTCTAAGAATCAGAATATTATTGTTTCTCACCTAGCTTTTGTTTCTTTCTACTTGTCTCTCTAAGGTTCTTAAGGTTTCTAATACTACTGTCTACACCTTTACAATAATTTTGATAGACAGTAAGTTTACTCTTTGTCTGGAATTTCTTACTACATGTTTTACAGACAAATACAAGCATTTTAATGTGTTAAACAATCTTAAGTACAAGAGTGTCAATACTCTGAATATAAATAACAAAGTTAATAACAAAGTAGACCTTTAGTTATATAATAACAAAAATATGAGGATTTAAAATGACTTGAATATGTAAAGACACACAAGTAAGACTAAGTCTATATAGTCAGATAACTGTATTCTTCTTATTTTGAGTATATAGACTACTTCTTTTAGACTTTCTTAATTCATGTTCTTAATATTCTTACTCAAGTACTTAACATTCCTACAACATTTCCTACTCTCCTTAATGTCCTACCCTACTGTGTTCCCCTAAACCCTCTACCCTTATCTCCTCCTACAATAATATAAGAACCTTGAGCTCTCATTATTAACTTCTAACAAACTTCTGCTCTTTATTCTCTTCATTTTACACTTGAACATCCCTTTACTATCTACTTTGTACTTATACACTTATCTACTCCTACTCTGAATGTACATTAGTTACTCCCTTATATGTTGTTACAGCCTACTTACTGTCCTCTCCCACTTTGTTCTCCTGTCTTAATCCATCTGTATCTTCAGTAACACAAGTACAAAGATACTAGTCTGTTCTTAATACTCTTAACTGTCTTAGTAAGCCTTATTACCTACTATGCCTCCTCTCAACCAGAGTCTAGCCCTAACCTTAGAGACAAGTGATGTGTCTCTACTAACTAGTGACAACCTGCCTACAAGGTAGTAAAGGCTTGTAGAAGGTGACCTAGTGACAAAGACAGGTTATTCAAAGTATAAAAGGTAGGTTATATACACTTTTTTTATTTTCCTATCTTATATGTATTAGTTTTACTCTGTTTCTTTATCTAGATACATGTCTACAGACTCTACATGTAACTGAATCCTCCAGCTTACACAATTCATTAAGAGGAATGTTAACCTTTGGGTCAACATTCATTAGGTAATGAATGTAGGTATAACTGTTAAAACCCTTAAGATTTACAAGACTCTACACAAGGGTGACAGAGGATACAAAGCAGAAGAAAAGTAATATACTGAATAGATTGTTACAAAGTAGTAAGTGTGATTATATGTGTGTTCCTCTTGTAATTGCTGACAATTCTGTATTATTAGTAGAAACAAGAAGGATATACTTGTGAAAGTGTATAAGAGTATTCTTGCCCTCCTTTCTAACTTTTAACAAGCATAGTAGGAGTGCCCCAAGTACTCTCTCTATCAAGACATCAAGTAAGTATCTACCTTATATACTACATAGTGAAGTCTGATAATCTAAGACATTCCAAGTACAGTAATTCTACATAAGGCAATTAGGGATTTCCTAATCCAGAGCACAATCTAATACTCCCCTTCAAGCATTAATTAAGAACTAAGACTGTATGCCTAATAGTTTGTTTAGATGCTTGATCTGCAGGATGTGGAGAGCCTTTGTAAGGATGTCTGCTAATTAGTTCTGTGATTAAACATAGCATACATTGATGTATTCGTTTTGAATGTAACATTGCACAAAGTCTTTTTGTAAATCAAGATGTTTAGTGTAAGCATTGTACGTTATTTTGTCAGACTTTACAGACTTTATTACACCTTGATTATTACAATAAATCATAATGGGTGCTGATTCAGTCTACAGTACTTCTTCAGCAAATCGTTTGAGCCAAATGGCTTCTTAAGTAGCATATGCTAGTGCTTGCAACTCTGCTTTGTAAACAGATAGTAGTACCAGGTTTTGCTGTTTGCTCGACCAGGATATGGTTGATTTAGCTAATTGAAAGACATAGCTGTTTATTGCTTTATGTCCTTCTGTCATTCGTCTGTCTGCATCACAATAGCCTTATAGTTTTAAGGCGTTTGTGCTTCCAAGTTGAAGCCAACAATTTGTTGTATATTTTAAATACACAAAGCAATGTTTCACTACTTTGTAGTAATGTGTTTAGGGCTTTTGTAAGTAGTGTGCTAATTGCCCAGTAATATAGGATATGTCTGGCTGTGTGCAGTCTGCAACATATCTTAACAATCCTACCATATTCATGTATAGCATTGTTTCATTATTACTTTTGTTTGTATTGTACATATTGTTTGTATTGTTAGATAGATCTATTCCAGGAGTAATAGGTGTTTGTAGTGCCTTTTCGTTTTTGAAGTAGTAACACTTGATTATACTTTCAATATAATGCTTTTGCTATAAGCTAATTGTTCATTGTGGTCTATCTCAGCTTATTTCAATACTAAGTAACTAATGTATTTTGTTACTGTCAGTAAATACAATGTGTTGTCTTAATGCATGTTTAAATGCTGTTATTATAGCAATAGTTTCACCAATAATTATAATATTGTCAACATGTATAAATGTTACAAGAATTGTTTTATTATTTTGTTTCTTGTAAAATACAGTATGATTGTAATTAGCTTGTTCTAATCCAATCTTAAGCAGTAGTTCAGTAATCTTCTTGTACCATTGTCTACCTGCTTGTTTCAATCTGTATAACACTTTATTTAAGCATAACACCTGTCCAGGTTTAATATCTGTAAGTAGCCTGCCTGACAGCAGTTTTATGTAGATGAGTTCGTCCTCATTTAATT